TGTGGACACTTGAAACACCCCACTGAACTGCATATATATTCCAGTGGGTTACAAAAATATTGGATTCATACATAACGTGTTGAATGGATTTGTCCCATTTTTGTAATTAAAATTGTCCAACAGCTGAATATGTAAATCTGGGGCAGCATCCAACTTACATATACATTTGTTTGTGGTGTAAGCATAAACTGAAATCCTGGTTGATGAAGCAGAGCAAAGCTCGGATAGTCTTTCCATCTACTGATGGGTATATGTCTATCAGTCCTACAAAAAAGGCATAGATTCAAACTTAGTTTTTAAAGCAGGAGTACATTACATTTCAGTAAGCTCTTCATATGGACAACATGTGAGGTCTATTTCATTTGACAGATGGGTTTCCACCATTCCATGTTCCTGCTAGCATCTGGGAAGTACTTCTCATGTGGTTTTAATTTAAAATCCATTTTAAAGTTGATTTTAAAGATTTGTTGTGGAACCCTATGATGCTGTGGCAGAACTCTAAGGTTCCAGAAGTCCATACTTCAGCACAGTTTGGGGATCAATACTATAGAGTACAAAAAGAAGAAGAAAACCTCTGAAGGGACTGTTCATTATGCCCTGAAAAATCATTATTCTATAACAGAAGAAACTGAAATCCAAGGGAATATATCTTCATAAATTCTGAGCCCAAGGAAGAAGAAAATTTATGAAGTCTGACATATGTTTTCTGTTCCAGCATTAAAATATGGAATAGGTGGCAATAAATAACATTTATACTGAACATGGCCAAAAGTCCATACTTCAGCACATGTACAGCATGTGCCCATAAATATAGCAGTAAAGCTTCTCCAGCATCATGCTAGGTGATAGAAGAAAAATAAAACAACCTTGAGAAAAGAAAAATAGTGTGAGAAGAGAAACATCTGAAGATGCAATGTCTTAAAAGTCACGCAGAGCTGTTCTGCACAGGCCTACCCAATTTTAAACTGTGAATTTTAACCTACATTTTATTAGAAGCAGTGTTAATCTTTGTTATGTGTATTTTAAAATATGCATTTTAATAGTATTACATTTTCTTTGTTTTGACCCTCTTGTAAATAAGTTTATTTTTATCTCTCCTCAAGGACTCGGAGTGGCTTACATGAGCCCAAAATTCACAGATAAAATACAACACATTCAAACCAATCAAGTAAAATAATAAAACAAAACACAATCAAAACAACATCATAAAACAATGTGGCTGAGGTAAAAGTCAAAGCTGGGATCTGGCTCAATGAGTGCAATAATTCCTTAAAGGAGCCAATGGAAAGTGCAGAGATCAAGTGTACAGGGACTAGGGCAGTCCTAAACAAAAATGAGAAGGAACCAATAGGCATAAAGTGCAAGATTTAGAGTGGGTCAGGATAATGCTCTAGTGAAACAGCCTAATCAAAGACACATTGGAACATCCAGGTTTTTAATTCTCTCCGGAAGGAGGACAAGGTTGAAGCCTGTCTGATCTCCCTAGGAAGGGAATTCCAAAGCCAGGGACCCCCCACCGAGAAGGCCCTCTCTCTCGTCCCCATCAGCCACGTTTGAGATGGTGACGGAAGCGAGAGCAGAGCCTCCCCAAATGATCTAAGGATACGTGATCGTTCATAAGGGAAGATGTACCCTGCTTCCTGCTGTGAGGAGAGGAGGGGTAACAAATAAATCATCACTGCTTAGTCAAGGGTTCTGTTTTCAACAGTGGCTAGCCAAATACCTCCAAGCATACAAAGCTGACAACTCGGTATGTTGTAGGCATGATTGGAGGGGGGGGGGGGCGTGCCTAGTTTTAAAATCTAATTGTAATTGTATTTTATTGCATATTAACTTTTGTATCTACATCACAAATATTTAATTGATTTTTAATTTTTTCCCATTTGCCTTGTTTGAAAATTTTATTGGGTCGCATCATGTTAGCCACCTTGAGTCCCTATGGGGAGAAAGGCAGGATAGAAATGAAGTTGTCCTGAGCCATCCTAAAGATTAGAAGTCTATCTCTTCTCACCACACATAAGTTTCTGCCAGTTATAAAGTTTACTCCTGGTACTCTGCTATATTTTGGTGGAATTACCCTAACGGAGGATTCATTTTGAGTCTAACAGCTCAGATTCCCCAACAGAAGTGATAAAATATATGTGCCCTTCTATGTGACCTTCAGCCTTTTGAAAACTGTAATTTGACTCCCATCATAAGTGGTGGTCTCCGAAGAAGCTCAGAATGATGCCTGCAGGACCAGCCAGAGAGATGTTTCCGAAGAATCCAGTGGAACCATCTATTCGGGTCTGGCCGTCCTTTGCTAGCCATGTGAAATATGGTAGTTTAGTGGTCCTTTCACCTGCATCTATGGCAGGCATCCTCAGAGGTGGTGAGGCCAGTTGGAAACTAGGCAAAAGAGGGGTTTATATATCTGTGGAATGTCCAGGGTGCAAGAGAGGACACTTGTCTGTTTTAGGCAAGTGTGAATGTTGCAATTGACCAGCTCGAATAGCATTGAATAGCCTTGCAGCTTCAAAGCCTGACAGCTTCCTGCAGGGGGAATCCTTGGTTAGGAGGTGCTAACTGGCCCTGGTTGTTTCCTGTCTGGAATTCCCATTTTTTTAGTGTTGTTCTTTATTTACTGTCCTAATTTTAGACAGTTTTTAAAAATACTGGTAGACAAATTTTGTTCATTTTAATGGTTTCCTGCTTTCTGTTGAAATTTTCCACATGCTTGTGGATTTCAGTGGCTTCTCGGTGTAGTCTGACATGATGGTTGCCAGAGTGGTCCAGCATTTGTATTGTCAAAGGCTTTCATGGCTGGAATCACTGGGTTGCTATGAGTTTTCCAGGCTGTACGGCCATATTCCAGAAGCATTCTCCTGACATTTCCCCTGCATCTATGGCAGATATCCTCAGAGGTTGTGAGGTCTGTTGCATACTAGGCAACTGGGGTTTATACATCTGTGGAATGTCCAAAGTGGGAGAAAGAACTCCTGTCTGTTTGAAGCAAATGTGACTGTTGCAATTGACCAGCTTGAATAGCATTGAAAAGCCTTATAGCTTCAATGTTTGACTGATTCCTGCCTGGGGGGATCCTTTGTTGGGAGGTGTTAACTGGCCCTGCTTGGTTCTTGTCTGGAGATCCCATTTTTTGAGTGTTGCTTTTTATTTACTGTCCTGGCTCTAGAGTTTTAAAAATACTGGTAGCTAGATTGTGTTCATTTTTACAGCCTCTTCCTTTTCTGTTCATAGAATCATAGAGTTGGAAGAGACCTCATGGCCCATTCAGTCCAACCCCCTGCCAAGAAGCAGGAAAACTGCATGCAAAGCACCCCCAACAGATGGCCATCCAGCCTCTGTTTAAAAGCTTCCAAAGAAGGAGCCTCCACCAGAGTTCCACTGCTGAACGGCTCTCATAGTCAGGAAGTTCATCCTCATGTTCATATGGAATCTCCTTTCTTTTACTTTGTACCCATTGTTCCATTGCGTCCTAGTCTCCAGGGCAGCAAAAAACAAGCTTGTCCTTCTTCCCTATGACTTCCCCTCACATATTTATACATGGCCCTCATCATGTCTCCTCTCAGCCTTCTCTTCTTCAGGTTATACATGCCCAGCAATTTAAGCTGCTCCTCATAGGGCTTGTTCTCCAGACCCTTGATCCTTTTAGTTGCCCTCCTCTGGACACATTCCAGCTTGTCAACATCTCCCTTCAATTGTGGTGCCTAGAATTGGACACAGTATTCCAGGTATAGTCTGACAAAGGCAGAATAGAGGGGTAGCATGACTTCCCTGGATCTAGACACTATACTCCTATTGATGCAGGCCAAAATCCTGTTGGCATTATTATTATTATTATTATTATTATTATTATTATTATTTGCTGCTGCTGCTGCTGCTGCTGCTGCATCACATTGTTGGCTCATGTTGAAATTGTCCACCTGCTTGTGGATTTCAATGGCTTCTCTGTCTAGTCTGACATGGTGGGTTGTCAGAGTGGTCCAGCATTTCTGTGTTCTCAAGTAATATCTTGTGTCCAGGTTGGTTCATCAGGTGCTCTGCTATGGCTGACTTCTCTGGTTGAAGTAGTCTGCAGTGCCTTTCATGTTCCTTGATTCGTGTTTGGACAATACTGCTTTTGGTGGTCCCTATGTAGACTTGTCCACAGTTGCATGGTATACGGTAGACTCCTGGAGAAGTGAGAGGATCCCTCTTGTCCTTTGCTGAACATAGCATTTGTTGGATTTTCTTGGTGAGTCTGTAGATAGTTTGTATCAAGCATGTAGCGGGGGGGGGGGCTGGGGGGCTTCAGCCCCCCCCCCCCAAATTCTGATGGTGGTCCGCGAGGCCTTACTGGTATGTTTATTCATATCATGATCTGATCACCATGCTCAATATATCCCATATGCATGGGGGTATTGGGGTAACGATACAAAAGGTTTGCTAGGGTAGACCCTCTTTCACTCAGACAGCCCCCCCCCCCCCCGAACCAACTCACGCCCCCCCCCCCCCAAACAAAATCCTGGCTACGGGCCTAGTTTGTATGTTGTGTTTCCTCATCAACTTCCCTATGCGGTCAGTGGTTCCCTTGATATATGGCAAGAACACTTTTCCTCTGGGTGGATCCACATTGTGTGTCCAGGTCACAGCATATTCTTTGAGAACACGGACCCAGCTCCCTCAACCATGGGGCTTGACTTCCTAACCCTTTTGGCCGCCCTTCTCTAAGCAACAGGGCAGGGGCCTCCTCCCTCAGAGTCCAGAAAGGTGGCCAAAGCCTTTTCCTCTCCTGGCTGGAGAGGGGCTGAAGAAGAGGACGCAGAGTTGTTGGTTGGTATTATCTCTCCATCCCTCCCCTCCGAGCCCAGGCGCGAGGCAGTGAGAACGTCCTCGCGGGCGGATCAGAATGTCCTCGCGGACCAATGAGAAGGAGTCCTCGCGGGCAGCCAGGTGTGGTGGGGAGGGCGCGCGCGCGCGGGGAGAAGGCGCGCGCTCTCCTCTCCACTTGTTGTTGTGGGAGGGGGCGAGGAAGGCGTTGCCGAGGAGCTCCCGCCGCCCACAGCCTGGATAAGCAGCCTCCCTCCTTCCCTCAGAGTTTGGCCACTGCTTCGCCGCCCCGACTTGGCTCGCGAAGCAGGAGCCACGCGAAGGAACAAGCGGTTCAGGGCCGGGTCAGCGGACGGAGTGAGTGGGCACCACAGATACCCGGCGCCGCATTCCTGGGAGGCGGCGGCGGCGGCGAGTCCTTCTGTGGGGCTGCCAGAGAGATAAAGAAGAGTTCGCCATGGGGGTGCCTTTCCCCAGAGAGCAGGGTCCTTTCGGGGCGCTCTGGAAGCGGATGAGCCGCGGGTGGAAGCCCCAGGAGAGGCCAGGCCCGGCAGCCCCGCGCGGCCTCGACGAGATGCACCTGTCGCAGCAGAAGAGGTAAAGGAAGGGCGCCCTGGCCCTGCGCGCGCATCCCCCAAAGCCTGCAAATACCTTTTGAATCCTCTGCTTCCATTGAAGAGCTAGCGGGGGGGGGGGGGGGGCTTCCATACAGCTGAATATAATCCCACGTTATCTGCTTTGAACTGGAATATATGGCAGTGTAGGCTCAGATAACCCAGTTCAAAGCACATATTGTGGGATTCTCTGCCTTGATATTCTGGGTTATATGGCTGTGTGGAAGGGCTCCAAGAAATGTGTCGCTGTCAGTTTTGCAGACTCTATAGCCATGTTTGAGTAGCATTCTCACCTGGCATTTTGCCTGCATCTCTGGCCAGCATTTTTAGTGGTTCTGAGGCCAGCATCCTAGGAGATGCTGGCCACAGATGCAGACAAAACGTCAGAAGAGAATGCTACTGGAACATGCCATACGTCCTGAAAAATTCACAGCAATCCAGTGTTGTCCGGCCATGAAAGCCTCCGACAACACTTTGGGGGTAATATTCGGCAGGCACTTCTCCCATGAAAGCCGCTTTCATTTCCTCCAGTGTGCCCCTTTCCTGTCTCTTGTGTGTATTGGGAAACGTGTACCCCTGGATATATCAAATTTTGAACAAGAAAATGTCTGCCTGGTTTGAAAGTGTTATTTCCTGTTTAATTGTTGTTATACAATAATCTCGTTTATCCAAACTTCGCTCATCCAACGTTCTGTATTATCCAATGCAGTCTGCCTCCCGCGCGGATCCACAGCTGTTTCAATACATTGTGATGTTTTGGTGCTAAATTTGTACATACAGTAATTACTACATAATGTTACCGTTCATTGAACTGCTTTTTCTGTTGATCTGTTGTAAAACATGATGTTTTTGTACTTAATTTGTAAAATCATAATGTAATTTGGCGTTTAATAGGCTATTCCTTAATCCCTCCTTATTATTTCCTTAATCCCTCACTTATCCAACGTTCTGCCGGCCTGTTTATGTTGGATAAGCGAGACTCTACTGTGCTCCAGAAACTTCCTTTTTGTGGCTGCCACAAACTGTTGAATTGGTTGAAACTCAATGAAACTCAAACTTCATCACTGCCCTTTATCCCAGGATCTGATCCCAGGTTATATGCCTTAAACTGGAATATCTGAGTCCCCACTGCCAGATAACAGATAATCTGGAATCAAATCCTGGGCTAAAGGGGCAATGTGGATGGCCCTGAGATATTCTTTGAAAAACTATTTCAAAATGTGCTGCATGACATTTTGCAGTTTAATGAACTTTTCCCATGTTTTTATGATAGAACCAACTAGAAAATGACATTTATAACCCATGAACAAAAATCGAGTTACATAGTGTTACTTACTCGGGTACTGTATAAGGCACCTTGGAACGTAAGGCGCACATTCAGTTTTGAAGGAGTGCATTACAAAAAATGAATTTGCTGTTGAATGTGATGCAAGGTAACCATGAAAGAGCTGATGGGAAGCTGTGTCCTTCTATCAAGTCTTCCCACCAGCCTTTTCATCACCATCGCTGCCTCTCCTCCTCAGTCCCCAGCTGGGACCTTTTGCTCAACAGCACAGATGGGTTTAGGTGTGTGATTCTAACCTGTCATTGAATCTAATGTGCACCTCAATTTTTGCAATATAATTTAATCAGAAATGGTGAGCATTAGACTCAAGTGAATATGGTACAGGCAGTCCCTGAGTTACAAACATCCGACTTACCAATAACTCATAGTTAAGAACAGGGGTGAGACCACAGGAAGTGAGAGAAATCTACCCCCGAGAAAGGGAAGTTTACTTCTTAAATAGTTATCATGGGGAAAGATGTATTCCCTGAATCTTTATCCCCAATCCTTGCTTCCACAATAACCCAAATTTTCAAAAACCAATTCTCACAGGGACAGAAAATGAGGTGAAATCTTCTGAACTGGGGCACAGACAGCAAAACAAACACCACAAAACCTTCCCTATGCTATCCAAAGTGTGTGTTTGTGTATATGAAATAGATAGATAGATCTTGTTCATTACTTGAGAACTGCCTGTACTTTGAATATAGACAAGGCATGGCATGCTCTAATGCCTGTCTACTCAGAAATTATTCCCTTAAGGAACTTATGCCCAAATGAATGTGTATCCTGTTCTTTGGGTTATATAGGGCGCTGATTCAGAAGATTGTATTGGATAGACCGCACCAGCACTTGTTTCTTAGATGTAGTTGTTATGATTTGTTATGGGTGAGCAGATGAAGACATGTGTTCTGTATCTCAAAAATTAGAGTTTATAGGGGGAAACTGATTATATATATATATATATATATATATATATATTCATTCAGAAACAGGGCTAACATTTAAGACACCAAAATATGTCTTAGCGAGTGTTCTATAATCCTACCCACCATATTTGTGCGTGAATATTTATATATGTGGATTTTGTTTCCAAAAAGTACCAAAAATAAAAAAAATGAGTTGTAGGTTGGCTTGGTTGGCTTGGAGTAGAATATTATGCACAGATCAAAATTACCAACATGTATCTAATCACTTCACTATAAATTGCATTTTATAGCTAAAGAGTACATATTCTCAGCACCTTTTCCCCCCAGTTCTTGTAAAATTTGTTCAGATTTATTTGGTACCTTTTGGAAACAAGGTCCACATATATAATGTCAGAGGAAGAAACAGGCTATGCTATCTTGCCTAAGAACACCTTCTGAAATACATGGGTTTGCCTTGAGTTGGGAGGCAACTTGAAGTCTCCCTCTCTCACACACATACACACAATTATTTATTGCTTCTGTTGACTGTTGTCATATGTGTATATGTATACAAATGTTTGTTCATATGTGATTATATAGAACATGTTAATATATATGTAAGGGGAAACACATTCATATTTTTCTCTTACACATGCACATTCACAAACAGTTTCGTAGCAAAAAAGCACAACGTTGTGCATGTAAAGAAAATTCATTGTAGAGACTTTTGTATAGCCATGTAGACCAAATTAATGGTTTTTAAAAATCCTGTTAGAAGTGACTTGAGAAATTGCAGATAGCTTCTGGTGTGAGAGAATTGCCCATCTGCAGAGATGTTGCCCAGGGAACGCTGGGGCTGACAGATGGGAGCTCACTCCATCTCATGGATTAGAACCGGTGACCTTCAGGTCAGTGGTTCAGCTGGCCCAAGGGTTTAACCCATTGTGCCACCACTGCTCCTTTAATGTAACCAAATTAATGTAGCAGTTAGCAACTCAAATTTTAAAATAATAAATCAATCACACTTTGAAATTACTGTTGGTACTTGTGATGTGCCATATGTTTTATGTAGACCCAGTTAATAGGTCATTACAAAAAATAGCTGATGTGTAAGGCTAGTATCTTCTTTCTAAGAAATGACCGTGCTGGTCTGGAAAACCCTGTCAGAATATTCCTCCTTTCCCTATAAAGTTGCATTTCTTCTCAGCTTTCCCCATTCTGGCTTACTATCCCTCCTCTCCTGCCCCAGAGGAAAAAAAGAATATTTCACAGATTATACCTTCAGACATTCCTCAGATGTAAAGACAATTGCTGAGGTACATGTAATACAATCAGTCCTCATACCAATAATGCCTGCGGTTCTTTGCTTCTTGCATCGGTGTATTTATTTATTTATTGTACAATAACCTGTTCTGCACTTGCTGAAGCAAGGTGTGCTCAGACATAACCGTTACCCTTTAAAACTTAACAACAACAATTGGAGAATGTTTGATCTTACAAGGGATCTGATTGTCCTTACTGTAGCAAAGCTATATAGTTTACTATCAGGATAAGAAGTTATAGCTTGTGGGGAGAAAGCAGTAACGTGGCTCCTGATTGTAAGTGCTCATGCCCACACAAGCACTCATATTGGGATAGATTTGCTGGTGCTTCTGTGGAGTGGGGAAAAATCAGCTTTAGCAATCTTTCTAGTATTTAGGTTTTAGAAATCCACCCCCCTCAAATCTCTCCAAAAGGTAAATGTAGTTTATTTAGCAGTAGGTCTCTGAAAACAGGCTGGTAAAAAAGGAATAGCTGGAATATGACTTCCTCACCAGTTTGTTTGTTCATTGCAATAGAAAACGTGAGTCCATCAAGAATATCTGTTTTATCCCCTTTCTAATTGGCTACCAACCCTTCATATTAAAGATTAAAATTATTAAAGATCACAGGAATGATCAAGAACAGTGTTTTTATATGAACCAGAACATCTAGATGGCTCCTATCATATGGAAACAAAGAACACTCGGTCAAATATGTGCTGCATGCACAGATCTACATACTGTTGTTACGTTGATAGAAAAATGCTATTATGCCAGTTATTAACTCTCTATCTTCAGTAAGCAGTTTGGCAATAGATAGTTAAAGGTACACATGCTGAAATGTCTGTCTGTTTCTAAAAGAATATGTATTAAAGAATTGGACAGTCATTCATTTAATGGTACCCACAATCTTGTGCCTGAGGTGGTTAATGATACAGCTGACTCTGGACCAGTTTTTCCACCTTCCTAACATATTTAAATCAGTGCATCCAAGTTTCTATATTGTAGAGTGATGTTTGCTTCACAGGAAAGGATATGATGCACCTGTCACTGGTTTTTCCAGAGTTGTGCAAAAGGTGAAAAGATGCTGGATCTGTCCTGAATTACTAGAAGGTTTTGAATGATGGTAAAGACTGTCCATGAGGAAATTATTAACAGCCCAGGTCTTTATTTGGAAATATTTCTGCATAGGATACTAAAATTTATTTTAAATTAGTTTTCGGAGTATAAACACAGTTGTATATTGACATACATTGAGATGTTCACAGCATAAAGGGAGATGCACAGATTTGATCAATTATGGGATAATGCCCAGTGGCTTGAGCTCTGTGCCATTTGGAGGCTATTCCTTCCTAGATATCAAAGTGTCCTTGATTGGCCTTATCTACAGGCAATATATAAGGTGCATTGCCTGTAGATAATCTTTCTCTCTCATTGGATTTGTATTGTT